TTTTTAAATACTTTTTTGCTTAAAATATCTGCTGCTTCTAAGAGCAAACAAAACAATGACCTACCTTTTGGAAGGTGAAAAGCACAATAATTACAATATTGTGGATTTAAAGAAAATGTGTGAAACATTCAATGCAAAACACAAAATTTCCAAACAAATACCTTCTGACGCTAAGCTTTTATATTAGGTTTACATCCAGCTCATTTTAACATTTCACAGAATCAAAAGAGCTTTTTAGAAATGTGTTTGTTATTGGTAAGAAGAGTTGTTGCTGTAACACGGAAAATGACTCATAGGATTGGTTTTCTACCTTAGCTACAACACTGGCTGTAGAGAAATTTACTTATTTTATCAGGGCTATTAAACAGTCACTCTTTCAGAGTTTTTGGGGCTCTCCTTTAAATTATCTAGAGAGAATTTATTTGACTTCAATGTCGGTGATAACTGATAATCTACGTACAAATAGCTATTTGTATGGTGGCCCAGAGAGGCCAAACGGACTGCAACTTAAGAAAACACCAGCAATAAGAAAAATGCTGCAAAAACACACAAAACACAACAGAATTAGGAAAAACGACAACAGAAATAGGAAAAAACAGATTTCCAAAAGCACAAGGGAAGTGTTTCTGGGGAGACAATAACCCGACGGACCAGTTGCAGGAACCAAAATATGCTAAGAATTGCGCTGGGAGACACTTAAAAGTAGTGGAGGATCTATCGGTTTTGTGAGGAAAGAAAAGATGAGAGGTAAGTGTGTTAGCCTAGCCTTAGTCATCAGTATTATATGAATCATGATAAAACACACGTAGCATGTTTTGGGTTCCTGCAACTGGTCCGTCGGGTTATTGTCTCTCCAGAAACACTTCCCTTGTGTTTTTCCTATTTGTGTTTTGTTTTTTTCCTATTGCCGTTGTTGTTTTTCCTATTTCCGTTTTGTTTTGTGTGCTTTTGCAGCGTTTTTCTTATTGCTAGTTTTTGGCCTCTTAGGGCCACTGTATATTTGTGATTTCCTAATGGTGTTCTAAAATAAGCAGCTTTGCACGAATCTTTCATTAAGATGATTCTCCGTCATGTTTTTTGTTTGTTCTCGTTACACAGATGTATAATGCTGTGAGTGGAAAATTAAAAATATAGTCGGTGCTGTGTTTTAGTGCAGGAGTCCAGAGGCTCATTTTTATTGTCTGTACTATCTCAGCTAATCTGCTCAAAGGCATGTTAACCCTTCTACTCTGATTGATCAGCACTGTCAAAAATTAACTTTTAGCGGATTTCTCATCACTAAGCTAAAAGCAGGAAATACAATCTAGTCAGAAGTTGCCATGGAGCCTCGAGCGTACGAGTCTGAGTGCATTTTCTTTTTCATTTCTCCTGCCTCAGTCACCTCTCTGGGTTACAAATCTCCTCAGTTACATAGTTGAGCGTGTCCCAGCCAGAGTAGGAGAAGAGAGCTGAGTAGAGGGCCAAAGCGATGGCGCCGGGGTCTTCCGAGGAGCCCTCCATTGGGTTCTCAAAGCTCTTTGTTTCTCCTACACAAAGACAAGATTGAGTTTTACTTTGAGTGTAACATTTTATTTAGCTTTCCCACGAATTCTTACTTTTACTTTCACTTACCACTGGATATCTTCAGGATTCCTATAATAATGATGAGGAAAAGTGCCATCAGTTTGGCATAAGTGAAGATGTCCTGCACTAGAGTCCCCCACTTCACATAAGCACAGTTAATGAAGATGAGGATACCTGGTACAAAGTAGAGGATGAAGGCAATGAACAAACATGACCAAACACAGAAACACTGCTTCTGCTTTCTACGATGTACATTAAGGAATCCTGCATGACACAGCAGTTTAGCCAGCAGTTTGTGAAACTAAAGCACTTTGTAGCAAACAGAAACCTGACTCTCTCACACTGCTCCTTTCTTTCTGTCACGTGGGCTGCAAATGGCTTGTGGATACCAAAACAGAATTGTACTTCTTGGTAGAGCGATGGGTGAGTCACAGCATCGCTGCTCTCTCACGTAAATAACACTTCTGCTTGCTACAGTCTTCGGAGCATGCAATCCAATCACTGCAAAGCTCTGTGACATGGGACTGGCAGCCTAACTTTAGCTTATGCCAGTACTACAAAGGGCTATCGGGTTTGGTACTGGCATGAATAGATCAGATGTGACTGTGGGCAGCACTAAAGCTCCTTTAATCTGGTTTTACTCAACTATTCAAAATGAAACAAAACTAAACGTTTTACATTTCTCCTGACTGCCTCACAATAAAAGCCTCACTGTATTCTGCAAGATATACATGTTTAGGGACTGTAAGGAAATTAATTTGAGTCATTCGAAGCATTAGCAGTGGGGAGCTCCAGTGACAAACGAGACCTCCACACAGAAAATTCAGGCCCAAGTTTGAAACAGAAAACAGTGAAGCAAGAGCACTAACCACTGAGCCCCTGGGCTGTGTTTTTGAACTGGCAGGAGTGGATAAGGGTAGGTGTTCATCAGTAGTAACTTAATATAAGCGGTGGCTATATCAGGGTAAAATTACAAGTAGCAATATTTGATTGTATCACCATAATTATGTAATTAAAACCCAGTGCAGGAATGTGTTTAACCAAGGTTTACCAAGTAGATGCTTTATTAATTAATTTAAATAGGATTAGATTTGAGAAGTGTTTGTAGAGGTTAAAAACAAATTAAATGGCTTTAATTGATACAAATTTAGACTTGGCATTGAGAAAATAAGTGCATCCTCACTCCTTCCACAGAAATCAAGCTGAAGTTTTAGCGGTTTGGTGGTTTAGAGTTTCAAGTGTGTGTTAACACAATGTCGCAATCATCCCAGGAGTGGATGTTCCAACAAAATCACCCCAAGGTCACACTGCAACATTAAGAGAAACTGCAAAAACCCCCAAGAGCTACATCTCAGACTCTACAGGCTTCAGTAAACATGTTAAATGTTACAGTTTACACGAGTGCACTTAGAAAGAAAGACTGAATGACTATAGCTTTGTTTGGAAAGGTTGGGAGGAGAAAGCCTCTTCTCTCTAAAAAGGACATGGCAGCATAGCTTAACTTTGCAAAGTTGCATCTAAACAAACTACAAGACTTAAGGAACAATGTCCTCTGGACAGACAAGACCAAAGTCGATATTTTTGTCAATAACAAACTGCAAAAATGTTTTTATAAAACCAATAACAACATATCAGCACAAACACCGTATTCAATTATCAAGCATGGTGGTGAAGATGTGATGTTTAGGGTTGTTTTGCAGCCATGGGACCTGAGCACCTTGCTGTCATTGAGTCGACCATGAACTCGTACGTATACCAAAAGCATGCTAGAGTCAAATGTGAGTAGTTAGTAAATTTAAGCTTTTTCTGCAGCAAACTGCAACAGCACATTTTGTTTCATTTCATTCACCCAGTGGGCACACTCATTCAGACACAGCTGTGTTTCTTACAGAGACAGGCTGCAGCAAGGAGGCGGACAGCAGCATACGGCGGCTGGCAGGTGGGGTAGAAAGCCTCCACCAGGTAGTTGGCGAATGTCAGCGAAATCACAGCCTGGCTGGCTGGCTCGATCAGGAGGATGGACGTCCACAGACGAATGAAAGCCAAGAAGCCACCAAAAGACTCCAGGATGTAGGCGTAGCTGGCTCCAGATTTGGTGATGGTGGTGCCAAGCTCTGCGTAGCACAAAGCCCCAAACACTGAGAAGAGCCCGCCAAGAGCCCAGATGAGCAGCGACAGTCCATAAGAAGCGCTGTACATGAGTACGCCCTTTGGTGAAACAAAAATCCCAGAGCCGATCATGTTGCCCACAATGAGGCAGATCCCATTCAGGAGAGAAATCTCCCTCTTCATCTGCATTTTCTCTTCTTTAACACCATTTGGAGCCTTTAGGTCCTCCTCAGATGGAACTCGTGAGCTCGGACATATCGTCTGTGACATGACCCCAATGGTCTGTCTCAGATCCCCCATTATTCCAGCAGTGCTGAGATGGAGATTAAAATTAATTAAAATTTAGATGGGATTATTCAAATTTAACAAACTTACCTAGCACACAATGTATAAATAAATAAAAAATTCTCCATGACACATGTTCAAACTTAAGAATACAAGCATGCAATTCCCCAACACAGATCACTCCCCTTTGTTTATAATTATAGATATAAATGAACAGCACGAGTGACTCATGACATATAATACAGGCATGTAAGTAACAAAAGATTAACTTACCTTGTTTTCAAGTCTGTCTTTTCCTCTGAACATGCAGTCTGACTCAGGCCACCACTCAGGTCTGAAACACCAGTCTGGCACCGGGGGAGATCACATCTGAGAGGCACCAACAGGATGGTCGATGTTGCAATCTCTGCAGGCCAGCACATCCATAACGTGTTTTTTTTGTAGGGCCACACTCTCATGTTGCCCCCTGTGCTATTTTCAGAGACAAGCAGACGTTCTTTCCCGCACAGAGCCTTCAACAGCTGAGACAGAGGGAGCCAAGCTCCAACTGACCCCACGTACAGGTCAGTTATTTATAATGTGATGAAAAGTGTCATTAAGCTTATCTTAATTTTCAGGGAGTGTTTCCAGCGGCATAACCCACCTCATCCCTGGTATACAGAAGGAAGACTCTATAAGTCTACTTGATATTGTTTTTTATTGTGTTTTTAATGATTGATACTATGAGTTTGTTTTGTGCCTCCTTGTAGACATCTGCAGGCCAGGAAAATGACTAGAAAGCTATGTCCAGCAGCTTGTTTGTTGAATGATCTATAAGTGAAGTATAAACTTGAATAAACTATTTCTTGCCAAGCAGCCAACTCCAAGGCTAAAAAGTGCAACTTCCACTTGAGGTTGGCTCAAAAGTAAGTCAGTCCTCACATGATATGTTAAAATGCCCAACTTTACAGGTGCAATAAACATGTTTATGGCCTGCTACAAAAATGATTTTGGTAATTTAGCCCATGAGGATGAAGACTCGACTGTTTAGATTGTACTCAACATTAAAGTCATGGATTGTGAAGCTAACAGGTGTATGCCAACATAGCCAAATGAAGCCTCTAGTTGTATGTTAACCTTTACTTCAGCTTGTCCGAGTCACTGAATATCTTGAATATTTCTGTGTTGTTGGTGACATCTTCAGTATTTGAGAAAGAATGTGCACTTTTCTACTGCAGTTAGCATCAATTAGCTAGTTTTTGGCTGTTAATCCACCTTGCTAGCCAAGCTATCTAGCGCTAGCTAAATAATCCAAATATGGTACCTTCTAGCTCCAAAAATTCACAAACCAGTAGGTGATGTCAATGTTACAGACATGTAGTTGATAAATCTGCAGCAACTGTGTGATGCAGTCATGTCGATATGGTCCAAAATCTCAGAGGAATGTTTCCAGCAACTTGTTGAATTTATTTTGCCAAGAATTAGGGCAAAAATGGGTCCAACTCAGTATTAGCAACCTGTACATAATAAAGTGGCAGAAAAGTGTATTTTTCAGTCCTTAAGTGAAGCTCACTGAACCTTAATGAGCAGCACATGTAACATTAAAGGAGCAAAGTGTTCCTTTAAAATTACTGTTACAAAAACAAGAAGCAGAAATGAGACCAAATTAAATTAAAAACAGAGTAGCCATTTTAATGAAGAGTTTGACACAATATAAAAAAAGAAAATCCTAGTTGAAACCACAGCTACACATGTTAAACCTCTGACAGAACTGCTCAATCGGCAGACACTACTGAATACAAGGGCTCCAAATTAGCTCTGTATTTTTCAGTTGGTATTTCTACGAATATCAAATAAACACATCACAGAAAAACAGTAAAAAAAAATGTTACAACATATACACACACCACTATCCAATCTATAGCATTTTCACTCAGCTTTGCTTGATATGCACGTAGAAGGCGTTTGCCTGTAACTCGAGGTGAGACCAGAAGCACAATATGAGGCACAGATTTCAAAAACAATACCAGTCCAACATATGGAAGCAGATCGACCCTGCTCGGCCTTTCTGACGTAAATGACATTTTGTCATTCGAGCATAATTTGCTCTAACAGTGTTTTACAAAGTGTGACGTGCTGTGACTCATTCCCCACTGTGTGATTCAGGTCTTTATTGAACTGTGGACACTTTGGACTGAATGATGCAGAACATGTGCATGAAAAAACATGAATTAATCACACTGACTGTCCTGTGATGAATGTGTTGTAGGTCATACTGAAATCCAGAGACACAGCTTAATATTGTCATTGCAAGCACCCATTTGAGGAAGTGAAGGCAGTGTTGAGGGCAGCAAGGCCCGAGTGTATTTAAAAAAAAAGAAAAAAAAAAAAAAAGAGCTCACATGCATACACACAACATACCCACCAAAACAATTACTTACTGATGGAAGTGTTGACAGGCAAAAGCAATGGAGTTATTAAGAATCAGTGTAGGACAGTTTGTGAATAGGTTTGCATGTTTGATGTTTGAGACGCTGAAGGGTTAAACAACAACAACAACAACAAAATATGTTTGGCACATTAAAGATGCCAAATGGGGAATGAAATAGGCCGTTTGTTGGCTAATTGACTGATTATATTTGTTAACTGCAGGAGCACACACGCTAATAAAACAGAAAATATCTGTTGTGTAACTACAGCATATTCTGGCAGAAAGAACATACAATATATGCTTATTATGTCAAGGAGCTAACAAAGAGCCCTGTGGCAGACAAAGGTATAGTAACAGATAAACCAGTACTTGCTTATTGTATACTTATGCAAGATTGCTGAACAGTTTTCTGCCTTGCGGGTCAGTGACTGACAGATTTAATAAACATGTTGCTGCTGTTTTGAGCAGACTGCGTAGCAACAGCAAAAAAAGTTGCAACGTTCAAGAAAAATAAGCTGAATAGGCAGCCCGTAGGTAAACTAAAGATCTGCTACAAGCAAAGCTGGATTTTCATGTATTCGATTTTTTTTCTTATGCTACTGCAGAGAAGCTCAGTTGGAATACATTTATTTGTAATCTCAGCTCAGAGTCTGTGGAAGATAGGTCAAGTCTGGAAAGATCCAGATAAGCCTGAAGTCTCTGAAGTGAGGTCGCTACTGAACCGACCGAAAGAAATGTGAGCACATACTTGGTCCAATTTTAATGACCCACTATATGCAGACACACACACACACACACACATACCCACATCCCTCTTTCTGGGTGTTGTATTACCTTCTCAGCTTCCTCTTTACTTTGTGACCCTGTGACTCTCTTTAGCTTGGCGATAAATAGAGGAAGAGTAATAACTTTCCATGCAGTCTGCCACTGGGTCACAACTCAGTCCAACTTTTCCTCTTAGTTTGGCAAAGCTGCTAAAGTTCAGGAACACTTATTTAAAGTAACACTTATTCAAACTTTCTGTAGACCTTGTGCTTAAATAGAACAACAATACACTCGCTCACTCAGGCCGTAAACATGACCAGAACCCATAAATACATGATACTTGAATAAAGATTGCTAGAAGAGTTAAACCTTATTTTTACAGCAGGTTTTCCAGTTAACAGTCCTCCTGTCTTTAGTTGCATCAAATAAATGAGGACGTTTGCATTCTGCAAATACTGATACATGATCGCACAAACAGGCCAACATTAATCTAATAGTCTTCAGACAAAAAGCATTAGATACCAAAAAGAGTGAAAACCACTCAATATAGTCACTTAGAGACTATAAATAAATATTCACATCAAATCCGTAACATTAAAAAAATAATCACTGCTTCAGTTAAAGTCTTTTTGATTCTAAACATACAGAATAAAACCTTAAATCTTGAGTTGATGTGTCCATAGTAACACATGACGTTTTTGTACCTGTAACTTTAGTTGCTCAACCAGCTGTTCTTCAGTCTAAACCGTGGCGAGTGTCTGGATGACACGGAACCAGAAATAGTTAGTTGTAGTGTCAAGTTGGCACAATCTTTATGTGGAAGTCTTGGCCGTGAGTGCTGCTACATCTTCCTGGGAATATTGCAGGACATGGACAGTGACGGTGCGCTAGGTGCCACCATAGGCGAGCTGATTTCAGGCGGGTACGGCTGCAGGCTCATCTGCTTGTTGTCGTGCAGCTTGCGGACGACGATGCGGGAGAAGTCTTCGTTGTGTTTGTCGCAGGTGTCCAGAAGTCGGCGGACCTTAGCGGTGCGTGTGGGCTGGTTGATCACCAGTTCGTAATCCTCTTTCATCAGCATGGAGTGGGACAGCAGGGCGTCCAAGCTCTGGTTCAGACAAGCCTCTGTCATCTGGGAGACAATTTCCTCACGCCGGATTGCAATCCACTGGGAGATGGCACCTTGCAGAGGAGGAGAGTGCCGTGGTGGAGGAGAGTAACCTGCAACAAGAAAAAGTTGCCTTATTTGCTGAACATTGCTGCAAGGGTGAAATATACTCTTTATACCAAAAGTGTAAGGTGTTACAAACCAATGTTATGTTACGCCAATCAGCTGAATAGGAGTGTAACTTGCTATCAGGGCCTACTAGTCAAGAACAAAGGAACGATAACAGCATCACTATGATTCTAATTTGTATCTTCTTAAGGAAGAAATAAACACAGTTACACTAAAATGATTGAAGTGTGCTTGAATGCCCTGTACTAGACAGAGCCAGCAAAACACAGAAACATAAATTATGAGGTTGACAGCCTATCGGTACCATGTGTCCAGGAAAACAAAAAGAAAAGTGCAACTAGAACAGGCAGGTCCTGTGAAAAACAAAGTCCTTCTCTACTGCTTCCACAGGAATTAAGAAGCTAAGTGGCAGCTGGGTGTTACTAATTTAATTCACTTGGTTAACTGATCATCAGCAAGTGTGAGCACCTCAAAAAAAAGCAGAAGTTTTGACAATTTTCTCGTCTGGAGCATTCAGCTGTGTTAACACAATGCCACAATCTTCCCAGGACTGGACATCCCAGCAAATGTACTTGATGGACAGAATGAGCAATACTGGGAAAACCCCAAAAGCTACGTCTCAGACTCTACAGGCCTATATGCTAAAGTTCATGATAAACAAGTTCTAGTTTGAAGATGTTATCAGGAGAAAGTCTCTGTCTCTAAAAACATGTATTGCTTAAGTTTGCAAAGTTGCATCTGATCAAATCTCAGGAATAATGTCCTCTGGACAGATGAGACCAAAGCGGAGATGTTTGGCCATAACGTACAACACCACGTGTGGTGCAAACCAAACACAGCATATCAGCACAAACACCTCATACCAAATGTTAAGCATGCTGGCGGAATGGCGATAATTTAGGCTTGTTTTGCAGCCACATGACCCAGGCAGGTTGCAGTCATTGAATCAAACATGAACTCCTTTGTCTGACAGCTAAAGTGTGGCCGAAACTGAGTCATGTAACAGGACAATGATCCCAAACACAGAACAGCTGAGAAAAAAAAAAATCAAAGTGTTAAAATGGTCCAGTCAAAGAGCTGTCCATAAATGAAAGCCCACAAACTTCAGTGAACTGAAGTAATGTTGTAAAGAAGAGTGTGTGAGAGACTGATAAAGTGGTACAGAGAATGATTACTGCTGCCAAACGTGGTTCTGCAACCTACTGAATCATGAGCTGCACTCTGTTTTTCCACATGCACTCGTCTATCATAAAGACTTAAAAATGGGACACAGGTCCACGCATTCACACACCAACAGATGCACGATTGAGCTTCTTGTACCTTGAGGCTGAGGCTGTGCTTTGAGGGAGACATTAACCAGCTTTGTCTCACATTCGGCGATTGGTTCAGGTTTGCTGAGTATGTTTAAATCATTCGTCCAGCCGTTCAGTTTATCCCCACATCCTGGTTTATCATAGACATCCTTCAATGACTGTGGAGACTCCAGACTGTGAGGCATGAATGACGATGGAAGGCAATCTACAGCTGAAAAACAGAACAAGAAAGGTGATGTGTCCAGCAGCCAAACAGAGCATACACTGTAACAGAGACTAAAGTATTATTTTTGAACTCTATGACATCAAGTCACACCACTTCCTTTAAAGATTATCAGTGGTGATACTTGGTAAAGGTGTTGGTGTCATTACGTTTAGCGGATGCAGCATTGCTGCTGGAGAGGGGGCCCGGTAGAGATATGTCCGTGTCCTGAGAGGAACAAGACCCCGAGCCTGATGTAGTGGCCTCCTGCGATAGAGGAAACAGTGAGGTTTCATTTATGTTCATACATGGACACACCTTCATGTTGAACTGCATCCCTCCATATCACCGTTTTCATTATAAGCCAAGTAAATTATTCAGGTTCAGTTACCGGCTGACAACATGCATAAAAAAAAAACAAAAACAAAAACAAAAAAAACCACGCTCCACACACGTCATCTTTATTCTCAGTGTAGGTGACGAGTAGATACTGACCGTCCACTGGCTGGGTCTGTCCTTTGGCATACTTGGAGTTTCCTCCTCACTCCCCTTCTGACAGGCTGCTGGGGCTGAACAACACTGTGACCTCAGCTGTGTGAGGAGCAAAAGAGATACGGCACAACCACATATTAGCAAACAAAAAGGTCAACTTCAAAATACTTTAATTGTCAATCCCTTGCTAAAAAAAAAAAAAGTACAGAGACAAAAAAATTCCACTAACACTGAAAGAAAGGATTACATTTACAAAAAAATCCCATAAAACTATATTGGACAGTGTAAGGAGAATGTTGAAGTATCTGACCACACAGTCAAATATTGACTTGCCCAACATAGCAGCAGGTTCTGGTGTTGCTAAAAAAAACAAATATACAGTATACATCAACCTGCTGATCGACCCATTCATTCTAGTGATGCTCTTTGCTAACGTAGCTGATGTGATGCTACACAGTAGTAAACATGACCCTGTCCTAACCTTTAGAGACGAGTTTCTGCCATCTAACTATTAAAATGACAAATTTTCTTTAAATAAAAGGAGTTTTGGAAATGACTTTATTCTACTTTTTATTTACATTTTAAGCAATGACAACTTTGTTGGAATCAAGTTTGTACATTACCAGCTAAGCTAATGTATAACCAACGTGTTTAACATATATAACAATACACTGAACAAAACTAAAGGTCACTGATGTTTTCATAACTTCTTATGCAAGTGAGGATATTTAGAGGAGGGAAAAAAAGGAGTACTAAAATACACGCTGTTCACTTTTTTTCTTCACTATAGATTGTTCTTTACCACAGTTAGTTCCCTGCTGCCTTTAACTGCATGTAGTTCAATTTTGTGCTTGTTGAAAGTACGGCTTAGAAACAGACATGTGACTGCAAAGTCACATATACACTGAGAATATAAAGAGGAAGGATATGCTGAAGGGAAATTATGATGTCAGTTTTTAATCTCTCTCTCTGAGTCACAGTGCAATTTAAACTGCCCCAAATTGCACATTCAACATTTATACTTGTGCAAATGTGTGTGTCCATACACAGCCAACTATAAATAAAAAATGTATCTAATGTTAATAATTAACCATCTATGTCTGCTAAGCAAAAACAATAACCTGTGACAGTCTTTTGAGGAGTTCTTTTAATGATCACTAAACAAAAACTGTATATAAAAGATGGCATCACCAATTGGTTTTTACTTTAAATCCTTCAGTCTGACATTTCAGGTAGACTGGCTTTTTTCTGCCTTTATCATTTTGGGTTTTTGAACACTTAACTACTTTGGACAAAACTATAAATCGGGGGCACGGGTGTCCAGTTGTTAGCTAACTTACAGCCAGCTTGAGGCCATACCTCTTAATTCTTCAATTCAGATGTTTTCTGTCCCATTACCACAGGTGTATGAAATCAAGCACCAAGCCATGTGTTCTGCCTTTACAAACATTTGCGAAAGAATGGGTAATTTTAAAGAACTCATTGAATTTGAGCATGCAGCTGTAATAGGATGCCACCATTGTAACAAGTCAGTTTGATAGTTCTTTCCCATCTATTCCACAACTGATATCAACTGCTATACGTGGTATTACTGTAAGGTGGACGTATTTAGGAACTCAGAACTGAAGTGAACTACAAAACTACAGAGTGAGGTGCAGAGTGTGGAAAAGTTGCCAATGCTCTGCTCAGTAACTGCAGAGCTCCAAACCCACCCTACCATTAACATCAGCAAAAAACTATGCTGGTATGGGGGGTGTTATATGCAAGTGGTCCAGTACCTCGTCGAAGATACTGGTAATCACAGGATTATAGATTGATGAGCACAAATTAGTGGCAGCTTTCAATTTATCAACACATCTCCCTGTTTTGCCGTTTGCATAGTAAACTAAATAAAATAATGAACTAAGTAAATTAGTAATTCCCCAACTATGAGCCACAATGTCCCCAGACTGAGTCTGTCAGAGGCCCCTGCTGCATTTCGCCGCTGTTTATTGGTTTCCTGTTTTTTTTCTAACAGCTTAGTGTCAAAAGAACGCATCAAATTGGTCAGTGTAGTTTTTTCTAGATCACATTTATCTTTTTTTCCTTTATCATTTTCCTTCTAATCAATTTGAAAAGGTGATAAGCTGATCCAGTAGACCTGTGATAAACTGCCAATTCAGGGAACCCCTGTGCAATTACTAAGGAAAGGAAAGATTTTATGACACTTTAGGTGATGCACTAGCTGTAAAAATCTGGCCATCAACAGTTTATAGC